CTTTAATAGCAAGCGGTAGAAATGAGAAAGGGAGAATAAAGGTAGAATTTAGTAGAAGAAGGCCTATCGAAGACACTTATATGGGTAAAAAGCCATCAGTGGGTTTACCAGAGTGCATCGGAATCCCGCGTTTGCCCCAAGAAGGTCCGTTTAGTCACGGGTGCACCCTGTCACGCCAGTATCATCTTTCTTCTTCTACTCAAAAACATCGTTGCATCTGTGTCTACTAATGCTACAGATGAATCGGGTGAATGCTGTAAGGGCCAAATATTGCATTACTGTCAAATGACCGGCCTGTTTCCCCTTCAGATATTATTCTACGATTAACACTGAAATTAATCAGATGCGGTAGGTCTTAAAGTTGAAAAGAAAAGGAAAGGATATACGCTACATATTGAAATTAATTTTAGGACATTAGTTTTCACGTGAGCCTCGTTGAGATTGGGTCAATATACGTTCGTCCTTTACTAGAAAATGTCTTACAAAACCATGTTCGTCCAATAAAACCTTCTGAAGTAAACATCTGTCAAAATAGACTGAACTCGGATATTAGAATCATGGTAAGTAGTACACGTAGATGGCTGTTGACAGTGTTTGCGGAGCAATAGGGAAAGTGAGCTTTTATTGTTCTTCAAAGGTAAAATCTCGATGCCTGGAGTTGTGTGATTGCATCAAACTTTTGCATTCATATTTCGATTGGACAGTTTGATCTTTAAGATGGAAATAATTAAGCGCTCTCTGCTTAAAGGACGTTAGGATCTTAAAAGTTAAAAAAAAAGCATAACTGTAACAGACACGTGAGCGAATGGAAACCCTTTCATGAAAGAAACATTTGAAGAGTACAGTTTTTATGACTGAAAGGTTCTGAGATAATTAATTGTCCAGGCTCTAACCCGCAGCCCTCCTGATGATATGTAGAAAAATTGTTAAATCACTTTGTTACTGTGACTGCTTTTTACTCTAATATATTCCAAAAACTGGTTGGGCAGTTCATCAATTTATCTGTCATGCGGTTTCCTTTGTGAAAGTACCACTTGTCGGTATTCTGACCAGTCCCCTGAAAGATGTAAGCATGATTCACAACACGTAGGAGATGATAAGATGTTCGATGACTATACCAAGTGACGTTTTTAAACTGTTACATTACAACGATGGATTTTAAAATCCTCCTTAAATATTTGGCCTTAGTGTTTGATCACCACGACCATGGCAATGCAAACACTCCCGCAACTTCGAACCATAACGTCTCAGCACGTGGACACAACACGTGTCAAATATAGCTGTCTCCATTAACTATCACTAGGGTAGAATTCTGTCGTTGATAATCTTTTGGTCTTGGCAATTTTTGGAATGGTTCAATAAGATATTTTGATTTAGCTAAAGCCTCAGACGCATGATCATGTACGAAATTAGTGAATGCAGGAAAGTCCATATAAAATACGTAAGAATGTGGTTCCGACACGATAATTTCAGTGCTTTTTAACGTGTCATATTTTGATTCGTTTTATACATCAAATACAAATGCCCATGGGTGTCATGAACTTTTCTATTTACAGACAATCTGCAGTCATGTTGTTCTTGGAATCAGGCATTTAAAACATACCTGTTTAAAACCTCGCACTTGCCATTGAAAACTATAATGACGCTGTTATTTCAGAAAGCCTTAACACGCATTTCTTGGGACACAAATACACAGAGTTAGCTAAAAGAGTAAGTTTGAAATTGACACTATCGAAACTTGTGCTCTCTACTTCTTCGCTTACACTTCTGCCCGAATATTTTGGTCTTGCCATCACATGAAAATTCGCAACAGGCTGCATATCGAGCCATAAGCTAAATACTAAACTTAAAGAAGCTGTGGCTAGGAGCGTTCTAATAGGCAAAGCTCAGACGACTACAGAGAGGTTTTATGAGCCGAGTTTGACTTACCTGCCTTGATTAACTGAACGATTAGTTGCCTACCGTTGTTTGTCTGTTAATTGATATCAACTATAATGGCAGTAACTTTAAGCACTAAAATGTCATAAGGGCTTAGACCAAATAAAATAGACCAAAATACCCAGGTTTAATGCGCGTTAAATAAGGTTTAACTGGTGTGTTTTGTTACAAACTGGTTGACCAAGTCATTTCTAGATTCCTCTTTTGGATAACTTACGATAAAAATTTAAAATTTCATATACTAGTTCTCATTTAAGTCAGGTTTAAGTAATAATAAGAATAATTGGAGTAATAATTGAAGGCACAATTCCTTTTACCATATCCGTCATGCAATGATTTTCCGTAAACAAATGCACTAGAGGGTGAATCCGGAGAAAAGTTAAATACGTCAAACTACGCTTGTCAAACTGTCCATCCTTTGGTAAGTTTGCTGCTGCTGACTAATAAGTCATTTTTTTAATTAAGACTAAGGAAATCCACCCTTAAATTTAAGGTAAAATTATCGACGACCACTGACTAAGAGCCTGCCGCGCCGACGACTTCAATGTGCCATTCGTTTAGACTACTCTTTTTTCTTAATTTGTTTGCTTCTTCTACTAAGGCGAAACTTCCATAATTTAGGCTGCCCCTGGTGGGTGTCAGGCCTAAATGTCAGCGTTTGCACAAGTAAAAACACCACCCGAGCTCGGCAATTTGGCCGTGCGTGTTCATTTTACCAGTCTGCACCTGCACGCAAAAAATCGATTGCTCTTTCTTTCCAACCTACCAGGCACTGCTGCCAGAGGCTAATTCCAAAGATGCTTCGACTCTCATGTAAACTGGGTAGATGTGCTGTTTGGTTAGTCTCATTTGTGAAGACATGCGTTTAAATTCCATTGACTTCACGTAAGTCCAATGAAGGTCTCGAAAGATTATGTGAACCACAGAGGCCCGGAAAATCCATACTACATGTGGGTATTTGCCATCGGCTACTTCAGGCGATGTATATTTTTACCAATTATAAAGACTGCGCCTGTAAGACTATGTGTACTTAAAACGACAACTGGAATAGTCACACTCCGATTAAATACTTCACAGCAAAACGTAATGATATCCATAATCAGAATAGACGGATCAGCAATGTAGGGTAGACATACCTGTCTTCTTATAGTGATCAAAATTATGATTTCCCGGACATAACACTGTCATTCCACCATCAGCGAGCTAATCTTTGTAGAGTTGCCCTGTTAACTACTTCAATAACAGTCCAACACACGTTAGTAATGTGCACCGTGCACGGTACGATGATGGGCCAACGAATTTTAAAAATCAGGTCTGAGTTTATATTTAAGACAACCTTCCCAGTTTAGTTGTTTCTTTTCCATTTTCTGGCTCATGCTTTAGTTACTTATGTTGCCGCAGTAGCACTTTGACACTTAAAACAGGTGCATGTGTTTCAGCTCAGGCTGTGCCCTTTGAGAAAGGCAGCACCACGCACCCGCGCGCAACTCCATGGCTGTTAATACGAAGGTGTTGTGGGTCCCGGCAGGCAGTCTCAAATCAGAGGGCGTGGGCACAACCGCCTACTAGAAAGCTGAATCAAGTTGTTGATGTTGTTGGTGTGTGCCGTGTGGGGCATTTGCGCGAGTGTGTTTATGTGTGAATAGCGTGGTCGTAGTTGTGCTAACATCGAGACCCAGAGGGTCTGTTCTTGCACGTAGGTATAATCCAGAATAAACATGCGTACTAATCCGGTGTAAGTTTAGGTTCCCCCATGAAAAACGGCATGCTGTGAAAAGGGTGTAAAGTGTGGGAGAACGCGTGTTTGATGTGGCCGTCGTCACCTTTAGTGTTAACACTTGACCTGAAAATATTACAATGAATTTATTTCTCAATTCCTACGCTGAATCTTACTATAGCCCTGGAAAATTTTGAATGTGATGTTTATTAATTGAATTTTCCTTCTGATGTCCTGAACAATAACAAATTCAACATTAGTGTTTCCGCAATAAAATTTATAGAAGAATCTGATTCTTCTGTAGCTATTGGCTACGGTATGCCCAAAATAAGATTTCAGATGAAGTCGTGTGAGTGTGTGTGGTACAGTGAAGAAAGTCAGTCTTCACAGTCAGCAGCCCCTCTGGTACACCTGCTAGCCGCAACGACGGGCGGCGCCGTGTTAGTCACGCTCGTTGATGGACGCATGGCAATTGGAGGGAGGGGCCAATCCAAGCAGCAAAATACCCACTCCATCTTCCTTCGGTCTCATTCCCTGTCCCAGTCGAAAGGACCCTGCTTAATAGTCACTGAAACCTGCGTGATAAATGACAGGATGCCGCACTTCCTGCATGCGTGTATGAATGTCTAGGCAACAACTTTCTGCACACGTGTGCAGGTGTTTCTGGGTCCCTTGTGCGGACGCTGGAACTCCATGTTACTCAGAGTTCTGGCTAATGTACATGGGTGCATAAGCCCACAGTAGCATGCCTAGAGAGGAAAGGAAATTCTCAGAATAATCCTTAGATTTATCAGCATTCATCAACAGGTGGCTGTTCACGAACGTTTACGCTGTGTAATTGAAACCACCATCAAGGCGAAATCCTACTTATTTCTGTTGTTTTTGTTATACAGGTGCGATTTTTTTTTGAAAAAAAAAAACAAATTCAGGACCGTTTTGTCAGCCTTAAATTCGGGAGAAATTTTTACATAATTCACTTGGTGGCTGGAATAATGTCCGACAATAAGTTGAAGTTGCAGTGAGCAAAATATTGACACTGATAATATTCAACTAGTTGGTTCATTTTATTTTTTAACACTCACCATGGTATTGTAATCTCTTTTCTAACCGTCCTGCGTTTTCTCCACTATGATTATAGCATTTATCTTTTCGTTCATCTTGCCTGTCTGACAAAGGCAACTCAAAGTCTTGACAGAGTTCCTGAATCCTCTCATGTTTGGCTACTTTTAACGATATATTTTGTTGCAGCATCATCCAAAGTCCACAAAAATTATGAATATACACAATATTTTGATAGTATTCAAGGCTATGTTGTCTTTTTTATTAGAATAACCTTCTTCCAGGAATGCTCCCATACAAAATGCCAGAGCATGAGCCATTCCACACGGCTCCCTTCAGCAACCCCGACAGGTGGCAGCCATCACCCTGGTGCCGAAATTCCCCACCGCCTCCCCCACCACCCTCGTTGCAAGATCACCAGCATCCCAGCCATCACCACTTTCCCTTTTTCTGCAAAGAAGACTCTCAACAAAGCCATCACCTTTCAACCACCTCCACTGACTCGATCCACCTGGAGACACTAGGGTATAATAGCGGAATTAATGACAGTGGGACTACAAAATGGGATGCTGAGGACGTGTGTCGCAACTCCCAAACCTCTGGCTCCACAGGAGGCGATACATTCTGGTCATCAACACTTTCGAAAGTGGCTGCCGTAGCTGCCGCAGCCATGGCCTGTGCTGCAGTTCCTCAGAAGTCCTCCAACGATAACCGCGTGGAGTTCCATAACAGCGAAGTTAGTGAGGAGATAGGAAAACATGAGTTAAAGGAGTCATGGAGCAGGGGACAACGGAAACCACATGGTCGAAGGTGGGCATCGTAAATTTGTTATGGTCCCAGTGTGGTGCTGTCACTTTCTACATACATTACTATTTCAGTTAATTTATTTTTTTGTGTTTTGCGATTAGGAGTACATACTGCTATAAGTGAATTTATTTTAAGAAATTCGTAGGGTACACATTAGCTGACTTGCCTGATTAATCTCAGTAGAAAAGCACGCTACAACTTTCACACGACTTTACTAAATTGCTGAGCTTTACATGAATGAACAGAAACCTAATAAGCATTTTTTCTAGCCGAGGTCACACAACCGGGAGTACCGAAAACATACTTTCAAAACGTCAGCCGCAAACACCTTTCATCGACTCTAGTGCATCACCATCTGCGAAGAGTGATACCCCTATTTCTGTGCCGATTTCCTATCCCTCGAACCAACCACCCCAGCCCCAAAACGATACCTGGGCCATCACCAGCGATGCCAATCTCCAGTGGCCTAATGTTAGCTCCATTGATCCCCTCAAAAACGGCAGCAATTCAAACATCTCACAGTGGCTTCCCGAGAACAATAGTGGTCAGAGGTTCAACTGCGATAATCAGTTCGTTAAACCCTTTTCATATCCAAGTAATGAAGTCTTCCGCTCCCTTGGAATAAGTCCCAGTCTCTCAGAAGATGCTCTGTATGTGACGTCATCGACCAAACACAATCAGGGCGAGTCCTTCCCCCAGTTCCCCTTCACTACCAGTACTCCCATTAAATCAGAACTCCAAACTGAATTCACACAAGCACACACCTACCTCGAACCCTGTCAGAGACGCTATCTCGAGCAAACAGAATGGTCACACAAGCGAATACCTCCTCCCCTTGGTGGTTACGACTCTGATTTTATGAGTGAAAGGAAGCCACTCACTGAAATGAGTTTGCACCTTGCTCCATCGCTCCCACAGTGCTCCACTCCATGCGACTACTTTCTAGAGCCCAGGCAACGGCGAGAATCCTACGCAGCCTCAGGAACACCACCAAGGAGGGAGTTCTCCCCCCTTCCCAACTACTTTAGCCTTTTCTCGAGTGGTGCAAAAGAGGAAGATACTCATTTTGTAGGAGCGCCGATGATTTATTCATCGGCTGTTGAGTCAGGTGGTTTGGGGACGTTTGTCCAAACCTCGGGTGGACCACAGCTGCAGACCCCGAACAGGCTAGAGCTCCACCAGCAGCAGCAACAGTTCTGTCTTGTGTGCGGAGACAACGCGGCCTGTCAGCATTACGGAGTGCGGACCTGCGAAGGATGCAAAGGCTTCTTCAAAGTAGGCATAATAGCTTTCCTTTATGCTCCCTTGACTCTAAGACTCCAGTTAAAGGTGTCTCAATATCAATATCGTTACAAGGTTATTAGAATTCATTTGTCACGTACTCATGATTTTTATCTAATTGGTCAAAAGACGCCAGGTAGAAGTGGATAAGCGCTAAAGCTCCCCAAAGTCATGGAAAGTAATGTGACTCATAATGCTGCATGACCCAACCTTACCAACGCGCACGGATTTTGAAGCAAAAAATCTTCGTAGTCGGTGCCATGGCGCTTCCAGTTTACTTTTTAACGAGTTGATTGGTATCTCGAATAAAAAAAAACTATGCAAAACTGTCAGACGATGATAACAAATTTGTCAGATTGGACTTGAGGTGTCGATCCTGCTCTCGTGAATAGTTTGTAAACTATGAATCTCCAAAGAAGACGATAAGTCTGGTCAAATGACAGTGAAAGACGTGTGTTGAAATCTGCAGGAAAGTAAATGACAATTTTAAAACGTCTTGAAGCAAACAATACATGATCGTAAGTAATTTAGAATAAAACAGTGACTTTTGCATCTGCTCACCGATTTCTAAGTCAATTTGAGGGCTGGAAACAGACGAACTGTCCTTTCAACGTATACAACAGACTAGCATATGTACTTGAGGCGTGCAGCTAAAAATTGATTTGGCACCTTTGTTCCCAAAGTTGCAGGTTAAAACAGGTTGGATGGCGTGAACCTATTATGATGCACTCGAGATGCACTTATTTGGAATTACATGAGTTTTTATGATGCTCCTTCCCCTCGCCTGCTGCATGCCTTGTTTGTTTACCTTCAGCGGACCATCCAAAAGAACGCGCACTACGTATGTCTACAGACGAAAAATTGCATTGTTGATAAACGACGACGAAATCGTTGCCAGTACTGCCGATTCCAGAAGTGCCTCAAAGTTGGAATGGTGAAGGAAGGTAATGCAACCACTATTTCCATTTACATTATCTTCCACTCACCCGTATTTTCAAGCGGTTAAATCCAGATTTTCCTTATTCTGTTCAAGGCAATATGAACTATTTCAGTTTTGCCTGGCTGTCTCATATGCCATGCGTAAAGGTCCCTATTTTTGGCTCCTTATTTATCTCAGATTCTACAGTCAGAAAAAAACCCTTTGCAGGAAGAGGTGAGGATAAACATGGAAAAAATATATTCACACAAGTCAGGGTTACAGTAATAAGTCAAATGCTGATAAATTTTTCTTAGTAATTTGAAAGAATGAATTAACTTGTTTTGCCTCCTGGAATATTAGTTTGCAAAACATCGAGACTGCATTCTTACGGTAACAGTATATTTAGCCATTGTCACATTACAAAAAAACCATTTGTGGCCATTGAAGTCACAAGTCATTTACTGTTTAATTTTTTATGCTACAAACCCACTAATTAATCTTGTTTGAAGAGTAATTAGCAACTACGCACGGGCAAAGGGATTAAATTATCTGGAAATTCACGAAAAATAAAAAAAACGAAAAGACGTAATCAAGGGACTGATTAGTCTGTGCGCATTGTAACGGGGCAGAGTTTGAAGGTGCGGTGGCGACCCCAATCTACTTGCCCTATAACTGACTAAAAGCGATTACCTGCTGCTTAATGAAAAATGATTGGGGAATTTTTCATAGGAATAAACCGTGGCTAACTCTCGCACCGTTTGTTAAGAAATTAATTTACTGAAGGCATAAATTTTAATCCTTCAGTGAGGAAACACCTCTACCAAGGGTCCTGAATTCCCTTATTCCTCTTGATGCATAATGTAGTTGCTAGTATTAACCATCTATTCATCTACTATGCAGTCAGCTGTGACGGAAAGATATCAGTCTAGGGGGTGAGCACTTAGGTCTTCTACACAACGTCTACTTACTAGTCTTTTAAGTAACGATGTTATCTGTATCTCGCTATTTTTTCTTCGCACAGTTGTCCGTCGAGACAGCCTCAAAGGGCGCCGAGGCAGACTATCTGCAAAAGCTCGCTGTCCGATTGACAGTGACGGTGGAAACACCGGCGATGCAGGACACAAGGCGTTTTCGACGAATTCGACTTCAGCCCAAGGACAGGCAATAATTGCCACCGGAGACAAGGGGGCACATCAGGGAATCCTTCCCGGTGGCTATGGCAGCGGAGGTTCAGGGGGTACAACCAACAACAACAGCACAAGCTCGATGACTCTCTTGTCTATGCTGACCAAGGCCTACGAAACGGCTGACTGCACTCTAGAAGCCGCTCACCTATTCAAACACCCCCCAGGATCAAACTACCCAGCAAAGGATCGCGACCATCAAGTAAGTCCCATGGCCTTCCTCAGCGCACTCACGTAAGTGGCGTGAAACCAACAGAAATAAAAACGGTAGTTTTTGTGTATGGCTCTGCTGGAGCCTAATGTAGCACTTAAGTAAGGCTTTCATATTAAAACGCCAGTCTGACGCCTTTGAAAGATTATTCAGCTCGTGGAAATCACTTTTCCCTCTTAACTTTGTGTCACTGCATGCACAGATAGTTTTCCAGGTAGAGAAGATAAATTTACCACCATTACCGTGCATTTGGTTTCGTGATGTAGCATTGTGGGAGTAACAGTGTCGCATGTAGTACGTTAAATTTAAGCCAAATTTAAGGCCACCGCAATTGCCTATTAATTAAAGCATCATTTAACCAAAGGGTGAGATTTTTATGCTTAAATTAATTGTCACATCTCCGTCAGTCGTTATTAAATACCTCGAGACTTCTAAACAGGAGTCTGTATAGTTGTGTTTCTTTTTAAACACCTTAATCGTTATTCGAAGTAACACACTTTTTCGAAACACTCTTCACACTTTTGTGAATGAAAAATATTTGAGGCAAATTCAATATGCAAATCGTTACTTATTGAAGCACTTGAATTGCTTGACAGTGAAAAGTCATGTGCAACTTAGGTATCAATCCAAACTGGGTGGGCGCTCGCACGAGCACGTCTGTACATGTGAACATAGGTGGTTCCAGCAGTTACATCTGTTTTACGGCATTGTCTTCCATTGACTTTATTTACCTTCTACGAAGAGGAGATGTACATAGACAAGCTTGATTATGCAGTTTGCATAGCCTTACTCTCCCAGAGTACATTAATTTTCTAAATCAAGGAGAACCGACATGTAGGATTCACTGAGGTCGACGTTATTTGCATGCTTAGAGTTGCGTGGCCGAAAAGTTCGGCTTGCCGACAGCCATGGTCAGGGTTGGGTGTGCATGCGTTTCGGGCGGAGACCTCCTGTAAGCGAGGCCGCTGGACTGCCCCGACGTAGCTCCGAAAAAATCTCCCCACAAACGGTGTGAGCCAGTGCGCGGTGTCCACTGAACGCTGACTTACAGACTGCCCATCTTGGTGTGTGGTCCACTTTGTGTCATTTGTCGCACCTTGTCCCAACGCATGAAAGAAGGAAGAAAAATAAGTTGGCCTTGCAGCTGCCGCATGAAAGACAACCGACCAGAGCGTGCGCACCGCTCATCGCAGTACCGTCGAATAATATTTCGCCCTCATAAGTTTCCCACAAAAAGAGAAGAACCTAAAACGCGCACAGTTTAGACAGCAAACTTCATTGCAAAAGGAAAAAAAAGTAGTAAAAGCGAAATTGTAATTGCTGTCCTGTTATGCAAATTATATCGAATTGGTTCACTCTGCAGTATGGTGTCTGGAGTGATGGCCGAAACCACATTTTTCTCAGTACACTGAAAATTTACTTGTTGTATCGCTTATATTACACCAGAGTTATGCAAAAGTAATTTTAAAACAAACTCTTCATACGCACAATTGAGGTAATTCCAAGGAATCAAACATCTTTGACATCCCGGGAAATATTAACACAATTTCCACTGTCAACAATGGGCTTTTCATGAAAAGATTTTGGCAAGCAAATAAAACACGATTGCCGATAAAACCCAATAATAAAAAGTTATGCATCCAAGTGGTTCATAACATAGCTCTCTGTTGGTGTTAAACACGCTTTGCATAGCAATGCATTAAGTGAACTTTTCCTCAGGAGTTTGACAAGGAAGAAGACACCCTCGTTCAGATCGCAATCAGAAATCTCGGGGAATCGGTGGAAGTGATTCGGCAGTATGCAGAACTGGTGCCCGGTTTCACCTCGCTAACGGAGGCCGACAAGGAAAAGATAATACTTCTTCACTCCGCTGATCTAATCACCTTCCGGATGGCTTTCAGGTAACATGTCGTCGCTAAAGTGATATTAAGTAGTCACCACATGGCTTACTGCGCAAAATAAATTCACAGTTGCAATTCGCAATGGACGACTAAATAGCTTATTCAAATTAACCGAAAATTGAACTGTCACTCCTTTTGTATGACACTATTGGTGGTTGCGAGTTAGTCAGCGCAACTGCAATAAAAATTCCAAAAGGCGGATAGAGATATTAATGAATTAGTGATAAGGCCATATTCAGGAACCCCCTATTAATAGAATTTAGCCTAATACTCCATAGCCCTTGAGAAGGGATAGAGGTGCATAAAAGATTAGAACGCAATGAAGTGATTTGTTTCAAATGAACGAACCATGTGTAATTAAAAAAATCGTAACAATAGTGTCATTAAAAATTCCTTTAATGAACCTGTTTTAGTTACCATTTGTAGCATTTTCGGCACATAACTGGAGCCTTAGTAAAAGAACAGTCATGATACAATTAGATTCTAGCCTGTAAAAATTGGAATAACTCTTTAAGATGTTAATGCCCATATTGTTTAATAAAAACTAAAGAACGGCCAAAGCAGCGGCAGAGCGAAGTCAGCTGAATGTCATTCATGCGCAACCCCCTTCAACAACAAACACCTACTTCCGATCTACCTCTACTCCTTCTGCACCGACAGTCGTTGGCAGGGCACAGCAACTTCCTGCCTTCCAAACTGCAGATGGTCCCGCGGCCTGGCAATCACCTACGGCCCCACCAGACCCCATGTTCCGACCCTTTTCCCACACCTCCCCACTTCCACCTCCAGGTGGTTGGAATACCAGCGTCTCAGTGCCTCGCGCGACGGAGTTCGACGGAGAGGAGAGCAACAGTGGGTCCTGGGAAGTAGCTCTTTCTACACCCACCGAACCAGTTTATATATTCGAGAATGGGTCGGTCATGACGGATAACGAGTTGATTAGAGCAGGTCTAGGACCATGGATCAGAGCACTCACTTGGTTCGGGTGGCAGCTATTGGAACTGGCGATGGGTGACCATAGTACGATTGCTGGTCTATCAGCACTCGTACTTATCAACTACCAAGCTCTTTCTGGTAAGTCGCACTGTATTTAAACCACACTCAAGTAAAATTATGGTAATTACTCTGTTTGGATAAAATATGGTTAAGTGTTTCCCTATCGCTTTTTTAAAAAAATTTAAATGGAGCGAGTATATGTAAAGGTACTCAACAACCATCATTTGATAGGTGACTTAAACAAAGGTTCTCTTCTATTTTTTGATAGAAGCGCCCACCTACGCGCCAACGCAAGGTTTCCGCATACATGTTCGCATGTGTGTGACAAGTGGTTAGTAAAATTTATGAGGACCCTTAGATCCACCATTAACTGTTTATGTACTTAAAGGCTTAGTTGACCCCAAGACTCACCCAAATTACTTTCGCTAATAAATCACTAGCGTCAGCTTTACGACATCTCTCAATGCACTTCTACTTCTATCATTCATGAGAGTAGATTGCCAATTTTTCAGTCACACGGGCCTGAATTTAGAAATTTTGTGGTTTTTTAGGAAGGTCGGATTTGGAGAACTCTAGCGAAATCTACACAGTCCACCACCGATTTGTTGAAATGTTGAAGAGTCACTGCTGCTCCCCAACAACCGCGGTCACAATTCCTTCCAGCTACCCCGGCTGCTACCCACCCGAGGCGGACCCCTCCACATTGGTCCCCGCAGCTCGGATCGATTCCACGTACTTTTCACAGGTATTCAAGAAGAAGGACACCGTTCACTGGATTGCGACCAACCTGCTTCTCCAGCCATTACAACGTCTCCATGCCAGCGGACGACTTCCCTCGGCGTCAGATTGTGGATGGCTCAGCACACTCATTCGTCTACTCAACTCCAGCTCCACCCATCCCCAGTCCTCTCCACGGTGCAGTTAACGTCGTTTAGTGCTGTGGCGCAGGACGGTGTGCAAATTATAAAAATCAGCAGCAACTTTGTACAGACCGGCTAATCAAGTGACTTGCCGACTCTAAACGATCCCCGATCGTTCACTCAACGTTTGTCGCATATTGGATTTGTTTTGTTTTCTCTCTTTGTGATTTTAACCATATTTTACGCCTTTTTGTCCTCCCTCCCCTTTCTCTATCTCTTTATCTCTCTCCGAAATTTAATTGTTTTGTGGATACACCCAATAAATTCAATTTTTTCAAGATAATAGGGATTTCGTGGTTGTAATACAGACTAAAACTTTGCTTAGTTGTTGGACCAATTAAGGCTAAACTAGCAACAGTACTGTTCTTGTTGAGGGTTCTAGTGAAAATTTTCCATCGATGCCCATCTGACCTTGTGCCTTTGGCTTCACGATAATATACTAACAAAGGTAACGCGGTCATTTTCCTAACAGCAACCAACGAGGTCAGGAAATGCTTTGTTAAATTATGATCATTTTATACATATTGTAGTCATCTTCACTATGCATATTTCAGTGAGTAAGCACCTTGTACAAAAACAGTCGTGTTAATTACCAGCCAAATTCGCTTAAACGCTTACTTTCTATATTCTCCTGTTGTCACACCAGGTGTCTTTCTACAGTTTCTTAAAAAATCTGCTTTTTCAGTGTTTCGTTTATTAAGGAACCTGACTGAATACGATCGATTCATCCGGCAAACCCAACTATTAAATTACGAAAGACCATGTGTACCCGAAACAAATAACCCCAGCTTTTCACGGTTATTGCCATTCATACGAAGAGAACTGACGTTCGAATGCATTGATTAACTGTCACAAATTTGAAGGTGTGTGACTCCACGAGTAGCACAATTAGTACTGCTAGCTTGCACCTCGTTTGTTCCCACAGCAGTCAGTCTGTAGACATATATAAACTGTATACATCTATTGAAATGTCATTCCAAAATAAACTTCCTCTGGAAAGCAGGGATGAAGACGACATGCTTAAGAACCCAAAAGGCAGGCTTGTGGCGTGATGGAGCTGCCTTCCTTTGGTTCAAGCATATTTTGGAAAGCACCCTTCGTAGACAAATGGACCAAATGATTTTGAGAGACCCTAGAGGATTTGGAATTCATTTCATTGGGTGGCCTTAGACCTGTGCGAGCAGAGAAAAGCTGTAGTTATTGTCAATAATTTACACAGAATGTTTATAGAAGGCTAATTTTGATATTTTCAATGCATAATTACAAGTGTGTGATAAGTGCCCATTTATCATAGATGGATAAAGGAAACAAATCCTATAATCAGTGGCTGCCAAATGAAGAAGTGATGCCTCCTCGTCAATGTAATCATTGCCCTCATCCACTTTTACGAATTTTAAGTCGGCCAATAAAAGAAAACAAGGATTACATTGAAATGTTTGATCTAAATGACACCAAAAGTGGGATTAGAAATTATTTTCTATAACTTTTTGCTTAAACTGCAATTCGATGATTCCCCTATTGTTAGTTCGTTTACTTTGAAACCCCTAATTTTTCCCAATATCTTTATTCTCTGAAACTTATTACCACATCCGAGGCAATCAGTAGACTGCAGCTGAATGTGACCTGAGTTTTCAGTGTTCGTCTGTGCTGCGAAAACCTCCAGAAATCATAAGACTCCTTTCTTGAATTCTATTCAGTGCGAGGTCATACCGAAAGGGCCATTGGCACTGGCCCTAATTAAGTTAAAACAGTTTGTCCTATGCTCTTCTAGAAGGGGAATTAATGCACTTTCTTGGCATTTGTTTGCAGGCAGTAAGTGCAGAAGACTTATTGAGCCTGGCGGCCGCGTTGAGGCTGATAAATGTGGGGTTTGAGCCCTACATCTGAGTCACTGCATTATTATGAACCGACACTGAGAATAAGAAGGACGGCGAAGGCGCGATAGTCGACCGCATGGCGCTTGCTGGCGGTTGTCTGGCAGGGGCTTCAATCGAAAGGGGTCGCGTGAACTAGTAAATGGACAGAGAGATGAATCGTAAACTGTGTAGCATGGATTCATGTCTTACAGACCTGGGATGGGAGTCAAATGCACGTGATGATAGATGAGTTAGAGCGTGATTACGTGGTGAAAGACGTGAATTAACACGATTAACTGCTGATTCGAATGCACATAAATATCGATTTGGTTAGATATAGTTTCAAATAAACTTTGAATCAAGCATAACATAACATAGAATAGTTCTCGCAGACTATAATGTTGTTTTTAGTAATCGAAGGATGAAAGGTTTCCTCAACATCACCCTGCGGTGGTTTTGTATAGGGTGGAAACGGGGTTTGTCATTTAAAAAAGATTTTTCGTATTCCCAATACTTCTAATTTAATTCTGATATGTTGAATAGTCTATTCTAATTTCATGTTATCATTCTTCCTTACCTCGTTCACCTTATTTGGTCCCTGCCCAGCAAGTATTAACTCATGGCTAGGTGATCCTCAGACTTCGGATTTTGGTGCTTTCGAGCAAAGCAGTTCTGTATTTGCAGCAACTAACTTACTACTTATTAATAAAAGTAAAACGTTATATAAGTATTTTTTTCCCGCCACACTTGAGACAGTGCTAACCGTGTGAACCGCACATTTGGCTTTTCATTGCTGTTCCATCAACTGTTTTGTAAAGCATGTACATATATTTATAAATTTGGTCTAAACAACCGTTTCTTTTGTTACACCACAGAGTTTTCAACGAAATATAATGGCGCATATTTGTATTGGTGGTTTTAGATTGCAACTATGCTTATTTACGCCTGTACAACATTGTCCGGATTTCGGTAGTATAAATAAACATTCTGTTTATTTAGGGGACGGAGCAGGAAGCAATTGACCACTTGACATGAATTTATGATGGTCATGTGCGAGAACGATGCACATCAAATCCGTAAAAATGTCCTACCAACGACATATTTATCTGTCGATTTCTTTAAAATAAACTTTTTTGGTTTTCTGCCAATGTATATCTGGATTAGACAATTAATTTACGTTTACGTAAATGCGTGCAAGAAAACCTACTAACTAAATAAACTTTTGTAAGACACTACTTTCATGTTGAAATACACCTAGAGGTTCTACCCAAAATGATGATATTGACTTGACCACAAATTACAAGCTGTTCTGATTCAGAGAACATTTGCTGTTGGCAAATGCTGTCGGCAAATGCTTCAGCCAACACGAAAATGAAAAGGAGTGGTGAAAGGTGAAAAACGACTAAGTGGGAATAATAAGCACAAACTCTGGTCCAAAATGAACATTAAACAGTCCGTGTTTGACTGGGAGGCTCATTCAAGCAAACATCAAGTCTTAAGTGGAATATTAATGTCCCACTTTGCAAATTAAAAAAACAACAGTTGCTATGCCAGTGACGAGTGAAGAAGACAGTCACTTGTTTATGCGTAGATTGTGCCATTGTCCCCCTTCCTAGTAGAGTATGCATCTACCGGAAGAAATTTCAAAACGCCCTTTTGTCAAATTATAAAGAGCACTTGGAACCTTCTGCTTTCCTCAACTCACACTTGAGGGTGTGTGGATGGTCGTAAAACAGTTATATTGCATCTTCTTTTAACGGGATATACTTCCATTCTTCCATACACACTGCTTAAGCTATCTCAGCCCCTTCTGAAGGTTATACTTTGCAATTTGCTAAAACGCGACAGTGTGTTCCTGAGTGAAAATTCTGACACCGGATTGGCACAGTTTATGTTATCCACTCCAGCAGCCTAATACCATCATGCAACTGCAAGCCGATGTATTTAAACCTACAAATAACACATGATGAACATGCGCGGCATTTGGTACTTGGATCATTGTAAAGAGAGGAATTAAGTCTCACAAATTGACTTACTTAGTTAGATCGAATGTAGCAATCACTCTTAGTTTGATTACCACTGCATACTTCAACGGCAGATTCATTGATGCTAAATGCAAATCACAAATCACCCGAATTTCGGGCTTATCTCAATGTTTTACTCCAGTCGTGGATGGAGGAACAGCAAACGAGTATGCCTACTCATCCTGCAGGGAAGCCTATTATTCAATTGTGCTCGTTTATTGCTCTAAATCACACAAAGCAAATGTGTGAGTAGAGCGCCACCAAAGCATAGTCATTTGACTCATTTTTATAAGTAAAATGACTGCGAAAAAATTTTGACCATTTTCCCTCAAGCCTTTATTGTCAAATAAATTTATTTAGCTGACAATCCACTTAGCTAAGTCAGATTGCTTTCGACTTATCCGTATTTTTTTACTGAATTAAAATGAAATGAAAGCCATAACGCGGTAAGTGGATATGGCATCAAGAATTCCTTTCCATTCACAGTGACTTGGCGTTAGTTAACGAAGTTGAGTCCAGCCATTTCCACGAGGAACCAAAGTTCCTTTATTTCGGGGAGTGGTGACGTCAATTGATGGCGGGTAAGACTCCGCGGATGAAATAAGCTATTCGGAGGTAGATTTTGGTTTCCACCAAAACAGAAAATTGGTTCTGAACTGATTGGTAGTTTATAAAAGCATGAGGTAATTTTGTGGACCTGATTTGTGGGTTAAGTTGTCAGTCGGATATTGATGTCTTGAAAGGTTCGTTGCACTGTTTTGGCCATCCGTATCCATCCCAAATTCAGCACGCCAGATGGTGAAAAGTCTGTCTGTCCTCGGATGAGGTCGCTGTACCTTGATTGGTAAATTTCACGCAAAGTCGGGATAGGTTTGGTCCATCGAGTGTGCGTGGGTTTAGCAACTGGGTCGAACACCACTATGCCGAAGTTTCAAGACGAGTGAGGTGATTCGTCACTGCAAGTCATCTTTCGAAGTAAGAGATTGCTACTTGCCACCTTAGCTTCACAAAAACATTGACCAAAATAGTACAAGGTGAACTACTCTCAAGAGCAACAGTTCATGTTGAATTATGCAGAGTTATTAAGAATTTATAGAATCTAAATCTCTTTTCTTAAATCATAAG